AACTATGTAAAAGTGGGTTTATAATGCAATTCAAAGACCTGAACATGATGATATAGTCTTGTTACCTTGTAGGAAAACTTCAAATAAAAATGATTGAATAGCAGAATTTAAAGGATTTTACTTATCAATTATATGAGTGACTTGACATTTACAAAGATCACTTACCACTTCATTGAGTATAAATTGTTTCAATGGCATTATGTATTCCTTAAAATTGTATTAAGTATAATATCAAGTATAATGACAGTTCTCCAGATCCACGGTATGGAATTTGGGGACCATAAAGTATGTACTACTTCGAAAAAATATTAAATATCTTCAAACAGGTTTGCCAGAGTCTTTTGCCCCAAATTAACCAGTCTTATTCACTAAAAAACATCTGGGTCTGCACCTTTAATACATGGTACATAGACAAATAAAAGCTTTCTATGTACATTTTGATTGCTTTCGATAAAACACATTTTAACAACAACTATTTTCCCCCAAACAAATATAAATTATAACAAATTTTACCACATTCAATTCATGATTTTATGATGGATGAAGATATGCATGATATATAATAGAACATGCACACAATATTGTCCAATATGATAAATCATAAAGGAACAAGTCCAATGAAATACTGTTTTGTATTTAATATGTTAAAATAAAATATAGTACAGAACACCCGCTTAAAAATCAATGGGATTAATAATGGGATAAGCTAATCAATGGTGTAATCAACAGCTTAATTGTTAAAATTTTAAGAAGCCACCTAATTCAGTCAAGTGTTGGTTTTGACAGGTCACATTAATTTCATGTCTACCACCTCAATGTCACAGTTATGTTTTATCTTTCAGTAACTTATTTCAGAACAAATGAAATGATATAGTAAGAAACCAAGATTGGAAGTATCAATTTAAAATCTCTACTTTCAAGTTTCATTCTCTAATAACTTAATTTTCATTTCCGTTAATTTTATATTTCTCATTTGAAATGCTACAATTGGTTCTAACTTTATATTTTATATTTAATAAGTATTAAAGTAGCTAAGTCTCTTAACTCAATATCATCCATAATCTTCGACATTGAAAACACACATTATTTGTCAATTTAAATCAACATTGATGTTGTGATCTTACCGGAAAAGATGAACTTCTGATATCTAATATTTAAGACAAAATAAACATTTTACCATTGGTACACGAATCGTGTATTGTGTTTCAGCGCCATTTGTAACAAGGGACTGGAAGAACGAGGCTAGATATATTCAACGAGTCATGTCAAATAGTGACGCCATTGATTGAGACTTTTAGGGCATTTCGCCGAACATAACTGATTTGAAATTAGAGTAAAAGCGGAAACCACTGAATGTAAATCAGTTTATATACATTCATATTACATTATTATATGCGTTGCTACCCATTTTTGTCCATTTCTACGTCCCAAATATTAGCGATTTAGCTCCTGTAAATATTAATTACGAATTTCTATATTTTATTTATTTAAATGAATGATAACTGTGTTCAGCACATAGAATTGATTGAGTTCTTGAAACTGCTGTACAGCATTTTCAATGGAACTATACATGAAACCATGATCTAAACATGTATTATAACATTACAATCTAGTTATTGCCCATTACATTTTGTGATCCTATTTATGTTGCTATATGAACTCTTTAAATTTTAATTGATATGAGGTGTTACAGACAAAATAATCATATTCTGCACTGCGCACAGTAACCAACCCTACCTGCAGATGATCACATGTTTCAAGTTTAAAATCAACATAAATGTTAATGCCCACAGGCTATCAAGGAGGTGTCTAGTTAGGATAGGATAAAATAGCTGGGTAATAGGTAGACCTATTGAAATTGAGTTTCTGCCCTCTGCCCCGGCAAAGTAATAAGTTAAAAACGTAGGCAAGAGCTAAATCTGCCTCTTGCAGTTTTTTTTATGGCTTCAAATATTATATAATTTTTTTTTTTTTTTTAGATATTTATTCACATAATCAACTCTCTAAACTATTGGATGGCTCAAATATTGTATGGATTAGACCATAACCATGAGGAAAATGTTGCCAGGACAGCGGCACTACGGCCTATACTCTTATTTCTAATTCCAACTGTCAAGGACTATTTTACGGGTAAAGGGTTGGGATCCAACAAAATATTTGCATTATTTTAATGTTAGCATATAGAAATTTGTTTTTTCTATGGTTAGTTGTGTAATACTGGAGGAGGGGTTCTTACTGTCGTCACATCTTGTAATTTTTACGACTAGACACACTTTCCTGGTCAGCTCTGCGGGTGTTAACACTGACAAGTAGGAATTGAGCTTGAATAAGCCTGTGGGTTCTACACAGGCAATATGAATACCTAAACCACAAAACCATTTCATTATTGTAATTTTGTTTAATAAAATAAAATTGTCAATCATTTCCATTACCTGTTTATTTGGAAATGTTTTGACCTCTCAGCAAGACTAACACTTCTATTTATTAAACTATTTTAATAGGCACTATAATACATGTATTTAACCTTTCTTGGGATGTTTCATGTGTATTGCCTATATGTACAAGGGCAAGTTGGATTTTTTAACAACTAGTCACAGTCGAGGCTCATCTGGAACAGAGGAAAACTATGGAGAAGGGACCGATATGTCCCCTTAATTTTACTGGAGAAAACACGTGCTGGTGCTTTGCACCAGGCCTCCTACAATCGATTTCTTCCATTAAAGATGAACTGCTTTCAATATATCTTTCAGCTCTCCCTTGACCTTCGAGGAAGAATTAATTTGACTTCAACTCCATTTATATCAGTTTTTATATCAATTGAAATAAAATAAAAAGATTGGCAGAACTAGATGTTTAAAATTATAAAATCTCTCCAGGTGTATTATGTACATATTTATTTAATCTAACATAATCAATATTATTATCAATCAAGCAATTAAAAATAAACTACAGAAAATCTTATTTTGCTTTCAACTTAACCAGCTTGGGCAGGGTAGGTGGAGTTAAATTATACAAATACAGAAAAACACAAAGACACTCAATAAAATAATTGTTTGGCATACATGTGTAGTAACACCTGGCGCACACTATGCGACGAGTTTGGCGACAAATATCGCCGCAACATAAATGGAGTGAGCACATTACACGACGACTTTGGCGATCACGAAAGAAAAACATCGTTACGTGCTTCGTCGTGTTACACCCCTAAATGCATTTTAGTCATCATCGCGTTGAATACTTCAATTAATATTGCTTTATACATATGGGAATCAGGCGACGACGTCGCCGTCTTAGTGAAACGCCGGTCGAGTGCAGTGCGTTTATAGTATTTCAAGTAACGAGCTCAAATTGGGCGACTCTTGTATGTATAGAAAACAGGCTACGTGAGTACGAGTCCAGAAATATTCCAGAGTATCCTAAATTTAATTAATCCTCTCATTACCAAACTTAGCTACGAGAACGTAGCTAAAACCGTTGAGATATACTGATGTGTTTGTTTTTAGCTACGATTGGATGCCTTTAGTTCCAAGTGGCAAACTCAATTTCTTTATTAATGCATGTAACATCTTTAAAATAGATAAGTTTATGATATTATGATTAAACTTACAGAGGCCAATGTAGTGGCACAACTGTCGCCTAACTCCAAATATTCGCGTTTAAATTAATGAAGCGTTGTTTGTGTATGACATATCACCGACATCGAAATCCATTCATAGTTACTGTGCTTTCGATTGTCCTGTTGATTGGCTGTTATAAATGCCTTATATTTAGCCCCGCCTTCATGATGACAGCGTATCGTTTAAAAAGATGGCGGTCTTAGTAACGGCTTAACGCCTCGATTTTAAAAACGACGATTTGTAAATGAAATGAAATGGAGTTTAACGTCCTACTGTTCTGCTCCTAACCTGGGCTAATGAAGACGGGCATACGCCATACAGTGTGCTATGAGGGAAATTTTGCCCGGACCGCGGCACTACAGCCTACTCTTATATCGAATTCCAACTGTCAAGGGATCTTTTATGTGCACGCCAATGTGTACACGGGACCTCGTTTTTTTCGTCCCATCCGAACGACTAGACAGCTTTCCTTGTCAGCCCCTCCGCCCTGCATCACTGACAAGGGAGAACCACGCCGGAAAATCTGGATGAACTTTCTCGGCCAATGCAGGGATCGAACACCCGACCTCCAGGCTAGCGAGCTAGCGTCTTACCCACTTAGCCTTGTGATCCCCACGACGATTTGTACTCGTTTCAGGTAGGATTATATGCTTAATTGTAGTTGGGTGTTGTAGAAATATTATAAATAACAATAATCAATCGTTGTTTTGATTAAAACTATTGTCAATTTTGCTTAAAAATGCCGGGTGTGAATCGCTCCCGCAGGTGCAACGTTATAGGTAATGGCCTCGTGTCTTATCTCGAAACACGGAGAGTTGAGAGATTAACGTTTGTTATCTATACCAAACTACCAACCAAGATGGGACAACCAATAAGCCCAGGAGAGTGATTGATTGCCACCCTCCATTTTATTGAGTATATTGCTATACAAACGGAACAGTCCACTGGGCCTACCATGTATACGACAGCTCACACATTTAATAAGTGCCAGAATTGCAAACATAATTTCAATTAGTTAGGCCTAAATTATATTACCCGAGCCACTTATACGTGCAACAGAAAGAAATTTCTGAGAAACCTCCTGTGTGGTTAAGTCACATGAGAAGAATAAACAAAAATGATTGGTTTAATAGGTGAATTTAATTCCTTGGTTGTCGCTAAATTTGTCGCTGAGATGAGCACATTACACGATTTGTTGCCGCCGAAAAATCGCTACCGACCGAGTGCGCACCCTAAGCAAGTTTTTGATTTTTCATCGTCGCAACCGAATTCGCCAATGTCGTTGCGTAGTGTGCGCCAGGCTTAAAGGACAATATTGGTGCCAGTCATTATCACATATTTGATAGAACTGGTTAAACACGTTCCAAATATTATTTTATCACAGAGATCATTGCTATGATAGATGCATAATCAATGTTTCAACAATCGGAGTGACGAACGCAAAAGGAAAACACGAGTTATCCCTCTATATAACTGACTGAAGTGACGAGTGATAACAGATACATGGGCGAATTTCTGCTCACTAATAATTCTTTCGAAGACCAAAAGTTGTCTAGAGGGATAACTCGTGTTTTCCTTTTGCGTTCGTCACTTCCAATTGTTCAAGCATTGATTACGCATCTATCGTAGCAATGATCTCTGTGATAAAATAATACTTGGAACATGTTTAACCAGTTCTATAACATATGTGATAATGACTGGCACCAATATTGTCCTTTAAACAATGAATATAACACCTCAATGTAAGCATGGAATGATAATATAATAATACATTGTCTCGATTATCAAATTCAATTATAAATTTTTGCTTATAGAACAAAACCTTTTGCCATAAAATGACTGCATATTTCAAAATGGCATTTATAGAATAAATATGTATTTGATGTGTATGTATATCATATGCTCATTTTCAACTACAGACTATGGTCCTAAAAAATAATCTTGTTGTCAAGCTTGAACATAGAATCTAAAACTACTTCAATTACCGTAAAATAGACTTCAAAAATGTCCCTTTCCAGAGATATATAAATTGACTCTTGTTTCTTTTGTTGAGGCACATAATCCTTGGAAAGTGGACTTTTATATGATTAATTCTCTGCATTACTTGATTTTATTATTAAAATACATCCATTACTTACATACATATGTACATTAAACACTGGTAGATTATTACAATACAACTCATTGTATACATAATATATGTTTATAAAATAAATACATGATCTTGTGCAATTTACAATAACTGTCAACCAAAGATTTTATACCGGCTAATCAATATTTTGCAAGTATATAAATCTAGGTCAAACTATGTTTTTAAATGATTTAGCAATAATTTGTTTATTGATACTAACACAGATACTAAAGTTCAATAACATTCTCATCAACATTATAACTTATTATTTGCATTCCATATTTATGATGTTGAGTTGTCTTCCTTTATTATGTATTTATCCAAATGTATGTATACTACTACATGTTGTTCATATATAAATAAACAAGTTAAGCACTGTCCCATCATTAAGAACAAGAGTAAAATGACAATCATGACAATTTCTGATTTAATTAATGAAGCATGATGAAAAGTTCTTTCAACCAAAGCAAACCATTTAATTGGGTCTAGTATCATCTTGTGTTAAACTGTACTGAGATAAAGTCATTCACACACATATCGCCATATATACAAATAACAACTGTCACACTTAATAACGATAGAAAGGTCTCCGTCTTTGCCCTTCCGGAGGATAAGGTCTCTTTGGTGGCGGAGGTCCATAAGGGTCTCGTGGGTCAAAATATGGATCTCTGGGGTACATATATCTTTCTGGGGGATACCTTGCATAAGGATCACGAGGGGGACGATTATAATATGGATCATGATGGGGTGGGGGAGGCCGATGGTGATGTATTGGAGGCAGCGGGGGCTCAAACTGTCTATCATCAACTGTATGGATCCTATTAACATGCTCATATGAATGAGATCTCTCCAGCTGATCTCTTTCTAACTGAGGTTCGATTTCTGGTACTTCTCCAGCTTCTAAACAATCAACTACTGATTGAATAGGTCGGGATCCTCCAAGAGTCATAATTGGACGCGGTTCTTCATTATTATGATTATTACCTAGTGTAGATATATCTTCTTGTGGCGTGAGACATGTTAAATTAGGACGCATAGGATTACGAGTGAATAAATTACCTCGATTGTTTCCAGTATTCAATTTTTCAGAAAAGTCCTCTATATCTTCCGTGGGGTCACGTTCAACTGACCCTAGTATTTGAATGAATTGCGGATGAATATCTATTGCTTCACTACTATCCCCAGCCATATTGACCGAATCACTGAGAGGAATTACGACAGAACTTGTGCTGCTAGGCTGACTAGTTGAAATTGGTACTTCTTGTAAAACTGACTTAGGTTGTCGCAAAATACTTTTAGTGGGAGATAGAAAGGATACAGATGGATCATGTGGTTGATGAGGTCCTCTATCACCATGAACGTTCATTATTTGATCCATTACCTCAGTTCCACCCATTTCACTAGGATGGTTTTCTTTCTCCCCTGGTGATGTCTGTTGAAATCCTTCCCCAGTAACAATCTGATTTAAGATATCATCGATTCCACCATCATCTGTCTGAATTACTGCACCTTGAGAAGGAAGAATTGGTGGAAGTGGTGGTGCTGTATGATGTCGTAAATGTGGTTGAGAGCCATTAAAGTTAAAGCCAACTCTCGAGACAGCAGGACTGGTCAAAAGAGCTTCAGGACTTGTGTTGGTACCTCTAGGAGATGCAAGATTGTGATTAGAAGGATGGGATTGAGTCATCATTGCAGTACCTGGTGGTATAATACCTGTTGCCTGTTGATGGGGATACATGACTGGTTGGGGTTGCCCATGCTGCATCAAATGAGGTATTACTCCCGGAGGAGCTGGATGCTGATACTGAGTTTGAATGGGTTGAACAACCATACCAGGAGGAGGACCAGGGGGTACATTACTAGGATTTGAATTTGGAATCATAATAGGTTGTACAGGCACTGGCATCCTCGAACCCATCGGAGATGTCATGCCTGGAGTCATTCCACCAGGTACAGAGCTGTTTGGAGGTACCATATGCATGGCTTGAGAGTGTGACAAAATATGATTTACAGGAGTTACCCCTGGAGAAAAACCTTGAATTGTAGGAATTTGAACTGGTGACGTGGGCTCTGGAGTCGATTCCTCAGCTGTCCATGCCGCCCAAGAGGGAGGTGTTTCATCACTCTGAGAGTCTCTGTTGTTTGAATCCTCTTCTTTAGGAGAATCTTTGGTGAGTTTATTTTGCTCATATTGTGATTTAACAGTACTAGTTAGTAATGATAAGTTCTGGAGAAAACTAGCTCCAGTAACAGGCACAGAGGAGTTTGTTTTTGATAATAGTTTGGTTAAAAAGTCTATTGGGTTCTCTTTTTGCGTTGGTACATCAATGGTGGCTTCATCTTGAACAGGAGTTGAACACCCTTCTTCCACATCTTCCACACTTTCCCTTTTACTCTGAGAATGTGACTTTTTATGTGATTCATGATTTTTATGTTTTTCTTTCTCTGCTGGTGTGACAACACTCACAACACTGCGTAGTCTGGAATGAGATTTATGATGAGATTTTTCTTCTTTTGGTATTTTCACCTTGGGTTCAAGCTCACATTTTCGATTCTGTTCAGTAGTAGTAGTCGCAGATGTTGTATTATCTGGAAATACGAAAATAATTTAATATGAATTCTAGGTAACCTGGGACTGAAAAATAATCTAAGATGGGTGGTTCCAACCAGATCTCCTTGTCCCATACTGTAATAAGGGGATCACGTGGCTAAGTGGGTAAGATGCTGGCTCGCTAGCCTGGAGTTCAAGCCTGCATTGGCCGAGAAAGTTCATCGAGATTTTCCGGCGTGGTTCCCTCTTGTCAGTGATGCAGGACGGAGGGCCGGACAAGGACAGCTGTCTAGTCCTTCGGATGAGACGAAAAACCAAGGTCCCGTGTGAATATGAGAATGCACGTAAAAGATCCCTTGGCAGTTGGAATTCGATATAAGAGTAGGCGATAGTGCCGCTGATAGGCAAAAATTCCCTCATAGCACACTGTATGGCGTATGCCCGTCTTCATTAGCCCAGCATAGGACCAGAACAGTAGGATGTTAAACCCCATTTCATTTTATTTCATTTCATTTTCATACTGTAATATAACTGGTATTATCACCCAATAATACATTCTACAGTAGATATCGCTTGTGTGATAAATTTCATAATCTACTCTCCTTAGGAGATATCGCTTTACATGAATTCAATTGGTCAGTTAAAAATGAACTACTTTTTTGTATTTTCAAAGAACAGTTCATTTTTTATTAAAAGTAACTTCTTTATTTTTTTTTTTATTAAAAATGAATTATTTTTATTTAATTGACCTTGATGGAAACACTGGGTCAATATAAAGGACTTTGCAATGGTTGAATTGCTATCAAAAAATGATGTATCACTACGCCGTTATGTAATCAGGTTCAGTAAAAGTGAAGTCTAGTGCAAAGAATTATATTTATTTATTTGTGCATGTAAGAAAGGATTGGTTGATAAATAAAATCTCTTACTCGTCTTTTTTGATATAAAAAAATATCAACATTTGTTGATAAAGTAAAAAAAAATAAAGTAAAAAAAAAAACTCAGCAGAGCCTCGTTTTTTTTACTTTATCGACTTGTGTTGATATTTTTTGATATCAAAAAAGACTTGTAGGAGATTCTCTATTTACACTAAAACCAATCTGTCAATATTTATTTTATATAGTTTGCATAGTACAAGGAGAAAAGTCCTCAAAAATATAATCAAAACAAACTAGTTATATTTTCTGAAAAGACGTCCATAATAAATAATATATTTTTGGATTGTTATTTTAATTGGCGAGGTATAATACCGGCATGTTTCTAATATACTATTTTAGAATAATCTTTGTTATGTTATATTTTTTAGTATCTTTACAGGCTTATTGTCTTAAAAAAGAACTTACTTTGTGAAGAGTTTGAATTCGAGTTAGAAACGGTTTGTGATTTCTTGTGTTCTGCTCTAGGGTCATTTTTAGCTGAAAAGAATGAAAAAGTTATCAGCCATTGAAACTTGAAAATAATATGTTGGGTTCTTTTTTTCTGTTGGACGGGTAGTAAAGAAATAATGCTTGCAATGGATTGGAGAGTATAAGTAAATCTACATATCAATCAATGCTGGAAATAACTTTTGAATGTGTGTCTGACACCATGTCAGACTGGATGAACATTCTGCCTGACATTTAAAATGTTGGATCGGACATAATATTCTGACATTTGGGTTGGCAGTTGGCACAATGTCTATCAAGATCTATTCTGTTGACCAATGTCTTTTGCGATCCATATGACGTGAGCCAGGACAATTTTGCTTAGTTTTCATTTGATCGACAAAATAGGTTTTGATTTGTCACGGATATAAAAATGTTACCCATTAAATTGCCTTGAATGTCATGATACTTGGGGTAGATACGTGTCGGTCGGGAAATGCAGGGTGCTATTTTTTCTCCGGAACCAAACATGAACACGATGTTTAAGGGATGAATAATTGGGTCACGCTTCCTGCGGATTTAAAATACACACCACCTATTGAGAACTTAACTATTTATTGTATGATTAAATAAAGTATGATCGAGACTTTGAGTTTTTATTCATTACAATATAAATCCATAAATTCATCGGCACCCATCATCCGATAACATAGCTTCCCGACCTTGCCAATGTTCGCCTAATCACGCGACAATTTCCCGCCTTTTCTATAAAGGGTTGAAAATACGATCTTCTTTTGGGAACTTATTTGTTTGTTGTATTATTAAACATGCATTATGCAAGAGCAAAATCTGCTTATTACAAGTCTTTCTTTAGGCCTGAAATGTTATCTAAATTATCAATTAGACATTAATAAACTTATCCAGACCATATCAAACTCTCGATGTCAAGGCTAGCCTTCGATGTTGGCTGGATTAGATTCCTATATGCCGCTAACGGCTATTGATAATTAAATCAATAAAAGTGGATAATCGAGACTATGCTGTTTATATTAATGATTTTAGTAATGATGACCGAGACTATGCAAAAATTTCACCCGCTTCTTTCTCGTCTCATAGTGTATCAATTTGACTGAAATTTTCAGCAAATTACCTTTACAGTATCTAGTTTTTAACTATTATAGCGAGAACTGCCATCTCTTTATCTTATCTCCCATAATGTATCTTTAATTAATAATATATGATTTATATTTATCAGTTAATAAATGTTGAAAACGATACAAATCTTGACCAATCTCCCATTTTATTTTGACCTCGCCAATCTTAAAATATAAATCCCTTTATAAACTGTAGTGGCTACGCAATCTATGTACACGTTACCGTGAAAACATGCAGAGATTACAATGCCGTAAATACTACATCGGAATAATAATATAATATGGAAATTCTGGGTATGGATAATTATTTTACTGTAATTTACGAATATGTAAGAAATTATCAGGAAGCCTATTTTGTAAATATGCAGGAATAGGTTTCATCAAAATTTGTAATAAGAGGGGGAGGAGGGCTGGCAGTGAGGTTAGAGAGAGAGCGAGATAGAGAGACAGAGGGAGGGTGGGGGTAACGTCCGCTCGACACAAACTAGGTAATTTCGGGACTAACACATGGCGAATAGCAGAATTACACCATTCGACTGAAGACTGCTTAATGCGTATCAGCATTGGATTTATTGAAAAAATATCAAATCTCTGAAGCGTGACATCATATAAATTCCACAACAATGTATGTTTCATCTCGTAAGATTCCCTTGAATATATGCGTGACAAAAATTGGTAAATTTTAGTATTCGGCACCTACGATAAAATTATTGTATTGTAGAACTTTCAGTCATGGAGTTGAACCATGATATCAAAAATATTTGATTACCCAACGGGTATGACTGTCAATATTTGGTTTCCCCGTAGTTTTTTTTTCTGGTTATGACATTGTATCCGTTCAGTGTTAGAATAGTTAGATTTCAAATTATAGAGCTACCCTCACTCGCCAACATTATCTTTATGTCTTGGAATGGAATTCCAAGGTTATGACCATGGCCATGGAAAGCAATCCCATGTGGTTGATTGACTAGACTGTGATAAAAAAGTAATACTATGGATTAATAGACTTTTATGTGCATTTTCTGATTGTGGGTTTGACATGCAAGTTACAGAATGTAGAGCTACATGTACGATAGCAAGTAAAGTTAGAAATTCATGAAAGGTAACAGTCTACCGTACTTTTATTTTCCGAAAATGGACAAAATGACAGACCGTTTGGAAGTTTCACCTGACAAGTCGCGGAATTCGACCAGACATTGTCGGTGTCCGACCAGTTATTTCCAGGCATGATATCAATTTATTATTAAACTGACAATCCAATGCTCTAAAACTAAAAATCTGAAGATTTATATACAAAACACACTATACATGTATTTACTTTCAATTTTGTGTACACAGACGTACGAGCCGGGGGGGGGGGGGGGGGGGGATGTCTCAGCTGCCAAACCTAACTTTCTGGCAATCTGGCTTTTACTTTTCTTTTAATTGAATACTACAAATTTTTTGTACTGAATTGACTATGGTTTAAAACCTTTTGGCTGGAGTCACTCTACTTTGTGCGACATTTTTGGGCATCGATTATTATTTGTGAATGCAGTTGCAACAGTCTGAATGGAAAGTTGAAATTCAGGTCGGCATATAGTGGGATTTCGGTTACAAAACCATTGGACAACTTTGGAATTGTTTAACTCACGAGCTAAAATAAAAGAAAAAGGCATTTTCGAAGGTTACATTTTCAAAATTTTCTCAAGGAAGGCGAGGCGCCCCATACCCTGCGACAATTGGTTGTTTGTTTGGGATTCAGTTCGGCCACCTAAGGTAGGCTATATTGGTCGACACTGAAGTTGCTGTATTCATGGACTGGAATAGCAGGAAAATGCATTTGCAGCAGTTGATTTTCAAAATTTTCTCCCGACAGTCCTGTCTCCGTGAACTGTAAACAATTGATCGGTTGATTGGAATGAGTAATCCACCTAAATTAGGCTTATTAGACCCCTTTGAAGTTTCTGTATTCACGGGCTGGAATAGCAGGAAAACGCGTTTGTTGGCGTCAATTTTTCCAAATTTCTTTTTTTGGGAGGGTGTGTGTGTGTGTGTGCCCTAACCCCAATTTCGGGCATTTCGTGTTTTGCCCCCTAACAGTCTTCGAGCCTGTATGCCTGTGTTCGTGTAGCAAAGAATTCAAAATATTATGTTTCTACAAGACCAAGATAGAAGTGCATGCAAGATGTGTAAATAGAACCAATAACAAAAATTAAGTTATAATGATGATACTTGCATGATATAATTTCATTACATTTGTGGTCATTTTTGTTTCACCACACTTTAAAACTGTGCTTAATAAAAAAAAACATGCCTCCGAAAAAGGACGAAAATCTCACTAAATTTGATGAAAATAAAGAGTACAATGGTTTATTAGCAAGAATGAAGATGATTTTATAAAGAGAAATTGTCATCTGGAACTAGGTGTACCTGTTAGTTGGATTCTCACAACACTAGTTACAGGTTTATTTATAGCCTTTGTTGTTTCAGTGAATGCCATTCTCCATGTGAATTCTGAAAGGCAGGAGCTATCATCAACCTTTGAGCTGGCATAAACAAATCATACCTAATATTCAACTTACATACCTCATCTATACATCATCTTTTAAAGAGAAGTCCAGATGTTGCAGCTTTTTTATAATTTATTATTATCTAGTGTTAAAAAGTTTTAACCATGCTTAACACAATGGATAAATCATTTCGTTTTTATATAATGAATTAACATGTTAACAGTAAGTTATGTGGGTAACTCATCCACCGTAAATAAAACAAGCCAACAGTGAGGCTGATGTCCCCCCCCCCCCCCCCGACGAAATCCAAAAATAAATAGATGACACATATTAATTAATAGCACATTTATTTTTCTTCAAAAGTATCAAGCAAGCTTTAGCTCCAAATGTTAATCATTCTACCTCAATTATGTTGTTATGTTCCAAAGTCTTGACCAATCAAATTGCTTATCGCTCCTAAGCCTAAGCAGAAAATTCTCATCATCGAACTTAGTCAAGGCAATGATATAATGAATCTATACTCAGAGTTTCATCACTCACTTAATTAAAGTTATCGTGCTGCAAAGCATCCGCCAATCAGATTGCTTATCTCCGCTTACTGTAAGCAGACAATATTTATCATCAAACTCCATCAAGTCATTCACCTAATGAACGCCTATACCAAGTTTGAACATTCTAGCTCAATTAGAAGGAGAGTTATTGTGTTCCAAAGTCTCGACCAATCAAATTGCTTATCACTCTGCTTACCCTGAGCAGAAAATGCTCATTATCGAACTTAGTCAAGTTATTGATGTGATAAAACTATACACAAAGTGTCCTCATTCTCATTTAAAGGAGCTAAATCGCTAATATTTGGGACCTAGAAATTGACCCTAATGGGTCGCAACGCATATAATAATGTAATCTGATTGTATATAAACTGATTTACATTCAATTGCTTTCATTTTGACTTTATTTCTAAATAAGTTATATCCAACGAAATACGGCATGAGTCTCAACAGAATGACAATTTCTAGCGTTTGGTTATTCCAGTCTATTGTGCATGCTCTCCAGATAAGATATGGCGTCACCATTTAACAGGAGTTGTGGAATATGTCTAGCCTCGTTTTTTCTGGTCACTTATTACAAATGACGCTGAAACACACTATGGTACTCGATTCGTGTACCAACGGTAAAATGTTTATTTTGTCTTAAATATTGGATATCAGAAGCCTACTTTTTCCCAGTAAGATCACAACATCAATTTTGATCTGAATTGACAAATAATTTGTGTTTTAACGTGTAAGACTTTGGATGGTATTGAGTTAGAGACTTAGCTACTTTAATTAGAACTAAAGTTATCGTGCCCCAAAGCATCAACCAATCAAATTGCTTATCTCTGCTTACTCTAAGCAGAAAATTCTCA